ATCCTGGCACAACTGCCCCCTCCTTAGGATTCAGGTCTCACTGTGGATGTCCCTGTGAGAGCCACCCCCAGGTGTTTTCCATCACGTTATCCTATCCTGCCACCCCCCCAGCACTTAGAAGCATCTGAGATTATCTTCTGTTGTTTCTCCAATTTAGTGTCAGCTCCATGGGGGCAAGGATTTGTGTCTGTTCTGTTTATTGTTAAATTCCCATTAAAACTATCCCTCAGGGCCGGGCGTGGTGGCTCACGCCGGTAATCCCTGCACTTTGGGAGGCTGAGGCGGGCGGATCATGAGGTCAGGAGATGGAGACCATCCTGGCCAACACAGTGAAACCCTGTCTCTACTAAAAATACAAAAAATTAGCCAGGCGTGGTGGCAATTGCCTGTAATCCAAGCTACTCGGGAGGCCGAGGCAGGAGAATGGCCTGGACCCGGGAGGCGGAGCTTACAGTGAGCTGAGATCGTACCACTGCACTCCAGCCTGGGCCACAGAGGGAGACTCCGTCTCAAAAACAAAACAAAACAAAAAACAAAAAAAACCCTGTCCCTTGGTATTCTCAAGGGATTGGCTCCCTCCCATAGACACCAAAATCCAAGGATCCTCAAGTCCTTGATGTAAAATAAATTGGTTCAGTATTTGCATTTAACCTACACACATCCTCCTGTATACTTTAAATCATCTCTTGATTACTTATAATATCTAATATAATGTAACCACTATGAAAATATACTATTGGCTGGCACGATGGCTCACACTTGTAATCCCAGCACTTTGGGAGGCTGAGGTGGGTGGATCACTTGAGCCCAGGAGTTCAATACCAGCCTGGGCAACATGGCAAAACCCCATCTCTACAAAAATTAGCCAGGCATGGTGGTGCGCGCCTGTGATCCCTCCCAGCTACTTGGGACAATGAGATGGGAGGCTCACTTGAGCCCAGGAGGCAGAGGCTGTGATGAGCTGAGATAGCACCTCTGTACTCCAGCCTGGGTGACAGAGTGAGACCCTGTCTCAAAGAAAAATAAAATATATCTATTGTTTAGGAAATAATGACAAGAAAAAAATTCTGTACATGTTCAGTACAGATGCAGTTTTGGTTTTGAATATTTTTGATGCAAAGTTGGTTAAATCCACAGATGCTGTGGACTAGACTAGGAAGTGCTAGGCATACACAATATTTGTTGACTAGTGGCTGCACAGATGTATATGCAGACATACTCGCCCCCACAACAATATTCAAATACATCACATTAATAGACAAATATACAGATATGGGCAAAAATACCTCCCCACACATTCACAGAACAGACTCAACAGTCACAAAAACACCCAGGAGTCCCTTTTCCATCCCCATAGGAGTCAGTCCTGGTCCTCCCCCATCTAGATATGCCCTCCACTTGAACCCAGTCTCGGGACTGGCGGAGTAGGGGTCTGCAGCCCGGACAGAGAAAGGGTCGCTGGCCCACAGGCCTCAGGCAGCGCCTTCAGCTATGTCTGCAATTTCCTCTCCCCCTTCCCTCCTCCTCTCTAAGGCTCCCGCCAAGACGGCCTCCCCCTCATCCTAGCTCCAACAAGGGAGGGGAGGCCCATGATGGGGGGCCCCGGGGAGACAGGGCAGAAAGAAGCCCCCAGCCACACACACTGATCGCACACCACATTGCATGCACAAGCCCAGGTGGGAAATGCGTGTGTGAGCACAGGTAGGTTTAGCCTTGGGGTGGGGGGCGGGATGGGGTGGGATCTGCCACAAGCCACCACAAGCTGCTTGGTGCACAAGAGCTCAGGAGCTTGCAGGCACAGAGGCCCCACGCTGGGGACTGCGAGGCTGCTGGACGGTGCCTGGCTCAAAGCTGGAGTCTAACAATCATTAACCCTGCGTGACCAGACCAGAGCTCGGCCAGGGGGCACATTCAAGCCTGGGCCCAGGGAGGAGGGGTGGACAGTCCCCTCCCTTCCAGACCGGCATGGGTCTGGGGAAGAGAAGCAGCCTTCCCTGGATGGGGCCTCCTAGGAGGGGGAGCGGTGGGTTTTGAGCTCAGGCTTTAGGGTCAGAGAACAGCAGGTTCAAATCCCGACAGGTTTTGTAAAGTCAATTCAATCTCTCCAAGACTCTGTTTATATTATCTGCGAAGTGGGGATAATGGTACCACGTCGTAGGGTTGTCAGCCGGAGTAAGTCAAAGAACCTGTCCAGGGTTTAGCCCTCGGCCCGCACGCAGGCAGCGCTCCAGCCTCGCTGTTGTTGTTGTTAGTGGCCTGGGGGCGGGTCCCTGCCGCGGCCTCCCCGGCGGTTTCCTGTGGGGGACGGACGGCCCGCGGGCCGAGATCTCCCTCCTCCCGGCTGCCCGCTCCTCTCCCCTTCCTCTCCCAGCCCTTTTCCTCCCCGCCTCCCCGCGCGCCCCGCCCCGTCCCTCCTCTTTCCTCGGAGG